AGAGATGAAAACTGGCTCTTAAATAAACCAACCTGTGGCCAGAGCAGTAACAAGGGTCATTGTAAGAAGGTAGAGTTCCCACCTGGCTTTGGCACACTGAGCACGTTCAGCCTGGATATTTGTCAGTGCTTTTTTCCTTCCGGCAGTTTTCATTTATTGGCTGCGAGTTAGGGCTTCCCCTTGCAGGACCTCTCTGGGTTCCTGCCTCCCGTTCCCTCCTGCTTTAGACTGACTGTCAACCTTGCATTTTCCTGGCTCGGAGGTAGTGAAGTCCACTGGATCAGGAGAGAGCCAGCAAAACAGCTCGGCTGCGGTGCGCAGGGTCCTAGAACCTGACCATAGGTTACGTGTACTGTGTGGGCAGAAAAACGTCCTCAGCGCGTGCATACGTTCATGCCCTGGCTGTCAGCGTGAGCTCCAGTCTGAAAGCAGGGCGCGGATTCAGCGTGCCCTGAATTTGCTTGATGACTCCAGCTGGCTGGTCCAGAGGTGGCTGTGTTTCAAAGGGCACTGTTTCTTGTATCGGCTTTTTTAATTTCCAACACTGAAGTCACTGGGGTTGTGCAAGGTTGGTCCCTTGTTTTTAAGGTCCTTTAGGGAAAAGTTGATACCGAAATGGGGATAGGACAGCTTCTGGTGTTTATTGCCTGGGAATAGAAGGTAAAACAAGTCCTGCATTCTGACTACTCTGTTCTTCCCTTGAAGTGCTCGTGTGCTCAGATTCTCATAGACTACATGTTGTTGCACTACTCCTCTGGCTTTTAACGAGACTCTCTTGTACTTTGCAGTGGAATTGCATAAATCACAACAAAGTTAGAGGCAGAGCTGTGTCTTCGGTGCAGGCTCTGGGTGCCTGTTAACCAAGGTTGCACATAGGTCTGAAAGAAGGATTTAGCCCATAGCCTTGCTTCAGGTGTCCAGTAAGAAGTGATTTTTGTAAGATTCCCTCTGTAATTCAGGGTTCATCATCTCTAGGAAGAATAAAAGCGTATGTTTCTGAGTCAAATGTTTAAGTCTTCTCTCTCCCTCCCCCCCTTTTTTTTTTTTAAATTTCAGGGCGAGCTTTTGACTTAATTCTGGGGACAGTTTTACCTGGGTGAAAACTGAGTAAGGATGGCGGGACTTGGCTTGTTATCATGGGGGAAGCAGGGACAGAGGTTTATAATTGAAAATAACTTGTAAAAAGCTTGTTTTGAATTTATCGATGGAATGTAAGGGACTCGAGGGGGATTCTGCATCACCTCAGATACGGTACTTAATATTTATGCTTTCATTGCACCTTGACAAACATTTCACGTAGTTATTGCTTTGCTTGAATATGGAAATATGTTAATTACGGCCTTTATTCCGCTGCCTGCTCTTTTCCTCAGCCTTTTCTATTCAACCCTCTAGGTGGCCCAGCACAATGTGGCTTCTTTTCTTTCAATGAGCTCTTTCCACACTAATAGGGTCCAGGGTGATGTGGAGAACCATGTGCACAAAATTGGTGCACCACCCCCCATCCCTTTGTGGGTATGTCAGGTTAAATTCATATCAGCAGGAGGGTCACTGCCATGATTTTCAATAGCGCGAGATGAGGTGATGACTTCAGACAATGGTGCCACACTCTCCAGTTGGAGACACTTGCCTCACCAGTTGCAGTAGTTAATTAATATGCTAAAAATAGAAGCCAGTGATACAAATCGCTGCCTGTTGTACAACAAAGACTGGGCATGTGTAGCTTTGATAGCCAAGTTTATGGTGCTTGTTATGGAGGGAAGTTAGTTTAGAGCTAGAGGCAATGTAAGACTTTCTGGATGCTGAGCTTTAGTCACTCTGGGCCTCTGGCCATTCGCTCGCTGTCTCATTTGCATTATGAATGACATTAAGGGAACTAACAAGGTTATTGGGCATAGAAATGTTCTCATGTGACCCCACGTGGAAGCAGACCTACAGCAGTGCTAGTTGGCAGGGGCACTGTGGCTCTTTATTCAGCTTCCTAGGAAGACGGTTTCTGGGAGTAGATATAAAATCAACCACGAGAAAACCGGCGTTTGGATAATGTGAAGGTCCTGATGCAAGCCCCTAGGAGGCAAGGAAGTTCAGAGAGCAGGCTGGAGCTGTCCCCTTCACTCAGCCCGCCGTGCCTGGCCAGTGCTGAGCATTGAGTACAAGACATGGGAGCTCCCGTTGCTTGGGTCTCCCCACCAGCCGCCTGGGGCTGGGTGAAGCTGCTCCGTGGGGTCTCAGTGACCACGCAGGAGGGTGTGGGTCCATCCAGGCCTCCGAGTGGGTCCATTTCTCCTTGCTGCTGGCTCAAATGATGGGTGGGAGGGGGTGGATTCTAGTTCTCACCCACTGGATCGTAGTTTTCTTAGGGACTGTCCAAATACCGGCAGAGTTTGAGAGGTTTCGCATTATCTTTTTACTACATGTTCCCCAAAACTTGAGACAAGGAGGGGTCAATTATGGAAAGTCCGTTGCCACCCATAGTTCCCATGCATAACTAGGAGACGGTTTGGTAAGTCCAAAGATTTAAATGCGGGAGTCGCATCCCGACTTAGGGCCACGTTGGCCAAGTGCAGCCTCGTACACACCAATGCAAGCACATGGGATTTGCAAACGCAAGCAAATGCAGTGTGTACAAGAGGAGAAACAGACCTGTGGAGATGTAGTCTGCTTTAATTTATCCCTTTTCTAAAGAAGCTAGTGTGATTGCTGATGAATCGCTCTATGTAGATGACAGCAGATTTTGGGGATGCTAGGTCTCTTCCATAAATGTTGGAACATTCTTAAATTTTATAGACATTTGTTATTTGCTCCATGGACCAGGAGGACACAAGCACATAAACATTTACCTTTATAAAAACCTCTCGTTATCGGAGTCCTTTAACAATTCCTGGTTTTCATATTGGACTTTGTAAACTGGTGGCCCAGTGGTCACACTTCTTCCGTGGAGCCACTAGGTACCAGATCAGCCCACAGGAATGAGCTACTGCAACAGTCACCCAGAGCCGAGTCCCAGGGCCCCCCATCAGTAGCAATGAGTAAGAAGAGAGGCAAAACGGCATAAAATGACGGCTGTTTCAAGGGCTTAAAATCCCACTGTATTTATGGCCTGCTCTGAAGGTCTGGCCCAATGATAAGTGCAACTACAGGCTGAGGCACTGGGGATAGGGCAGGCTCTGTGAGGAGTGCATATGCTGTGTGTCAGGTAGCCTTATGTATTTCCCCTGGTGCATTTACAGGCTGGATGGGACTAGCTCTTGCATGTGTGTGTATAAATCCACATGAGGTAAATGTCAGAGTGATTTTGATCATGAAAGTGCAATTCCTGTTACCTCGACATGTGCTGAGATCGGCATCCTCGGGGCTGTGTCCCGCACTGATAAGTAGGAGTCAAGGCTCTCCTGTTGACTCACTCATGAGTGGGGGCAATATATCTTAATTTCCAAGATCATCAGCTTTCCTGTGTGCAGTGGGTTCTTACTATTACAATAATGCATAATTATTATTTTTGTAATAATGGCAGTCCATATTCATTGCTTCTGTCTGTGGGAATTTGCTCCTTCAGAAGTGTTTGTCAGAGTGGGATGTCTGCTGAGCTCTCCTGGTAGGAAGGACAGTGGGCTTCAGCAGCATGCAATGGTGGGCTTGCAGATGGTCATCTCCTGGTGGCTTCGTGAGACAGATAAATCCATGTCAGGGTTTCAGCTCCTCCTTTTCTCTCCCCACTTCTAACATCCCTCCTCCAGTCCGTCTGGATGAACGTTATGACCCAAGTCCCAACCTTACCTGACTGCTTCATTCCTCGTGGGTCCCAGGGACATATTCCAGCCTGGAGAAGAACATGCCGTCTCCACAGCTATTGCAGTATCTGCCAGCTCAGAGTCTGGGAGGCCGAGAACAACTCTCCATGTGTCTAAAACTTGAGCAGTTATGCAGACATCAACAGGGTTGCAGAATTTGTGCTAGCTGAACAGAGAGGACTTGGGATCTGCCCTTAACAGAAGGGCAGTTTTCTGTAACAATCTGTTTCTATAAATAGACTGAATATATTGATTGTGGTTTATTTCATATTAAGTATTACTTGGGTTTCCTCTTCCTTCTCTTCCAGTCACCCCAACTGAAAACTGGTAGAGAAGGGTTTGTTAATGAGTTATTGTTGAACCAAACAACTTGCAAACTAAGTTTCATTTTAGGAAGATATCAGTAACCGAGAAAATCTCCTGGAAATGGTATTTAGTAAGACATGCTGATAAGCCAGTGCCTATGGCAGTATCATAAACCATAAAATGCCATTATAAAGGTCACAAGAACATTTAGGTTTATTTTCATTTCTCTCCTGATCTCCATAGATGTGTGAGAGGAAGTTTTGAAATGTATTTTCAACTTGTTTATTAAGAAATAGTAGTAATGACAAATGTGATCTTTGGGGTTTTTTTTTTTTTGATTATGTAGCTATGGGCTGTAAGTGTTCTCACTTCCTAATTGCAAAGGTGGTAAAGATGTATTGTTAATTTAAATCTCTTACCCGGACAGGTCTTTAAATGTTCGAGTTAATTAAGTAAGTCTTTAAAAATTGACGTGACTAAAAATCTCAGTTTGGTCCTTTGTGATACCTTATTGCAGTTAGTTTTCCGGTAATAGAGAGAGCTCTAATGTGACCGAGACCCAAATTTCTGACATAAATTACAGAAAGCCTCCTTCTTCTCTTTCCTTTTCTTTAAAACTAGGGAAAGACTATTAAAAATTGTCCAGGTTTACTTTATGCATCAGTAAGAATAAAAGACCAAGCTGCATTTCCATTTTAATTTGCAGATCTGTTACCCCTCCTTTGACTGCTTGTGATGAGCAGTGTGACTAATGAGCTCCGCCGGACCAAAGAGAGTGGCACTTTGCCCTTTCTTCTACTTCCCCGTTTTTTATTCTTGGGTGTGGTTTTTTTATGTTGCTTGCCTCTGATGTTTTGCAGCTTTTCTGGTCTGGGCTTGGACTAATTCCCAGATCTGTTCTTGCAGATTTTAACTTTGCCATGTACCCACCGTCAATGATAGCAACTGGAAGTGTGGGAGCAGCCATCTGTGGCCTTCAGCTTGATGACGGGGACAGCCTCACGGACCTCCTGGCCAAGATCACAAACACAGATGTGGTGAGTGTCCCACATTGCTCTTCTCCTTTCACTTCTGAGGGCGCAGTGCAGAACTGGGCCATCAAACCTGGCCTGATCCCAAAGGCCCAGTGGAGCAAAGGAGGGGGTTGCTCCTGGAGCGAACAGGTTGCAGGCCTGGACCTGGCACCTTGCTTGCAGTGCTTTGGATGTCCAAAGCTCCTTGGCCTCCCGGGGTCACGTTTCATTCATGCTTTGTTCAGCAGCTTGAGGGGGGAGAGCCTGCTCTGCCCACCCTGGCTGATGGTCAGGCTTGCTATAGAGGGGGAGCCGCCTTGGGTACCACCCCGGGCGATGGGGCGAGCAGGCAGACAGCATCCCCTGGGGCATAAGGTAAACCAGTATGTGCGCCGGTCCTGTGTTCGCAACCTTGAAACTGCTCTTCTTGCCTTCATTGAGGTATCATCTAAAAATCCTTGACTTAAGGGAAATGAATAATGAACTAATCCTCCGGCACTGGCACAATGTGAGGCAGGTGCAACCCAGGCTGTCTGGGTTTTTGTCTGTAACTTCACTAAGCTCGCCCCATGAAGGGCATTTCTTGGCTTGTCAGAAGGTCCTGTCGTCAGTAGGAGAGGTGAATCTGATGGCAGTTCAGTGCTGCTCAAACTCACTCAAAAGTGAGTTTGCTGGTCTGGGGTCAGCTTCTAGTGGGGACATCAGAAAACCCAAACCTGACAGCTCTGCTCGGCAGTCTCAGCAGAAAGCTGGGAGGACTGAAAAGAGCACTCAGGGTGCCTTCCCCGAGGGGTGGTGGCTCTCCTGCTATGCCCCCGTGTCAGTGGGACACTGCGGGGAGAGCTTACGCTCCTGCAAATCCAAACCGCTTGGTGTTTGGATAAACAGGAGTTTCATCTCTTGCAAAGCGGACATGTTTTGCCATGATGAAATTCACTCAAAAGGAAAGAAAATGAGTGAGGCTTTCTGAAACGCAAGCCACTAATAAGATAATGCTTCTTTTTACCGTAAAAGTATCAGTTTCCAATGCGTTGTCCTTAACATGTGCTAACTATAAAACTTTTCATTGCCTTTACTTCGCAGAGTAAATACACTGTGCAATTATTAGATCTGTGATAACGTTGTCAAGAGAAGGTTTGTTTTTTCCAACAGATACTCTGCATTTTGGTTAAAAAGGAGTAGTCCAGTTTAACAAAAAGGGAAGAATTTCACTATTTCTTTTTTTCTTTCAATCAGATTGAGCCTAATTTTCAAGTGCAGTTCTGGGGCTTCCCATTTCTTTTGATTGGAACTGGGTTTTGGACAGAGAAAGGAACATTTCCAATTCTGAATGCTTATAATGTAAATCAAGTAGCTGCAGAAATTTAACATTTAACACTCATTTCAGTGTAAATGAAAATTTTACACAGGTAATTGCTCTTTTGTGTCTGTTTTATAAGTATGGAGAAACAGAGTGGTGATCCATTACAGTAAGCAGCAGGAGCATGCAAGAAAAATCCTATATGACAATTCAGACTGCATGGCCTGGTGCAAATAATGCACAAAGCTCATTTGTACATTTAGACTGGGCAAATCCATTAAGTTTACTTCATTTATGTGGATAACAAGAATTTTCCGTTGTTGGTAGTGATATTGGTAGTTATTGGCTGAATGAAATTTTCTCCTTGGATGTCTGGTTGGATGTAACACGATAAGTTTTGGATGCTGCATTCAGCGAATGTCCGGGAGGACTCTTAAGACAAGTGGGCAGATGTGAGAGGGACATTAGAAAACCAGGCAGAGAAAGACAAGGATTTAGGGAAAGACTAACATCTTGTTAGCAAAGGTGCTGTCTTCAGCCAAGGTTGCGAATATCCACAGAATAAGGAAAGCGGTTGGTGCTGGCCCCTAAGAGCTTCTTGTATTACTCCACATCTTGACTCCATGGAGTGTCTGAAAGGCTGACGCCCATCTGCTGTAATATTCCTTGTTATATGACAATGCCGGGTGAAGTTGTTCCTGCTCGTCTGCTGCTTACTTTCATGCTTGTTCTTGCTGATGTATGCCCACACAGCTGCTCATATCCTTGTGTTTCAAACCCCATCCTGGAACTAATCCAGCTTAAAGAAGGGGGAAAGGACCACTTGTTGTTGTTTCGGAGGTGGGGGGTCAGGGGGCTTGCTTGGTTTGTAAACTGGATCAGTTAACTGATAGATTTCCAAGAACAGCCTCACAAACAGCTGGGAGAGCTGAGCACAGTGGCACAGGGCAGGACCATAGGGGCAGATGGGGATGAGAGGAATTTCTGTAACCATCATTGTCTGTGAGCTTCTTGTACTACAGCTATAGAAATTAACAGCCTGACGGACCAACTTGGTAATCAGCAGGACAAGAATAATGATGAGAGTGAGGGAATGATAGTGTGGGGTAAGGAATGGGAACACAAATAGCCCTTACAGTGGCAGGGGAGGGACAGGGAGGCATGCAGAGTGAAGGAGAAGAGAGTAAATGGAAGGTTTAGGGGCAGCCTTCACAAGCTTGGTGCCTGCTTCTGCTGCTGTGAAGCAGAACGGAGCACATCACTGCCTGCAGAAATTCCTGGGTAGTCCTTTGGAAGTCTTTTTGGAAGGCAGAAGCAAGAGGTGCTCAGGTACTACCAAAACCCAGACCTAGAACAGATACCCTCAGCAGAGCTCATCACTTTGTTCCTGTGCCGTGTGATTAACGATGCAGACTTCCATCACTAGACCATGTTCCCTATATCAGTAGGCTCCAGATAAACTTCCGATGTTGTTTCCACAGTATTTTAGCACTTGTCAGAAAGGAGATGCCACGGTAGCCCTTGCTGGTGTATTTGTATTTGAGGTGTTCGGTGGGTTTTGATCAACCATTGGGTAGCTGGGTTCTGTCTTTCTGGAGATGCCAGGGCGTTGTTCAGGGTAGTTCTTCATTTCCTCTAACAGTCTCCCTGTACAGTCACAAGGACCTTTTCCCTTCTTGCTCTTTTTCAGCATGGACAGGAGGTTTGGGTTGCAGTGACAGCATGGTGCTGACAATACTCAGCTCTTAGGTGAAGGCAAGCAAGCTCAACATATGGGGCCACAAGGGCTACATCATTGGGACCTTGCAAGATACTTAGCTGTACCTCGATTCCCTGGTCACAGGGAAGAGGATTTCCCTCCCTCACCCATCATTTTTGCCAGCAAAGAGATTTTGAGCATCCCTTTCTGATGCAGCCTTTGCCTCAGTAATCTGTTCCTTAGTCACCTTCATGCATGGGCTCATGTTCAGAAGGTCCTGCAAGGCTAGATGCAGCTGCTCGCTTGCGTAGCTGCTCCTCGTGGGGGGAATTACATCCACGGGTTTTCCTGCTGCACCTCTCTGTGTTTCTTTCTGGTTGCTGGCTGGTGCCTTGCTGCTTCACCTGTGAAGCCCTGCTTGAGTTGGGATCCCAGCTGACTCTTCCCATGCTCAGTCTGCGTACTGGGGATGTTTGTGAAGGCTTGTAGGGACAGAAGAAGAGACACAGTAGGGTGTCTTTCTGGTGGAATTTGCTTTCTCCTTGGTCTGGTAGAGCCCATGTTAATTGACTTTCAGAGCATGTTGCGAGCATATTACACACAACCACATTTAAGGGGGAATACATGGCTTTTTTTGCTCTCTGGGGAGTTGTTCTGGATTCTCTTAATTTGATACTTATTGATATACACTTAAAAGCTCATGTTCTTTATTATAGGAGATACTTGAAGCTTTCTCAGGCATCCCAACGCTTCTTAATGTAAGGCCCTTTTGCAGCATCTTGCAGATTGGAAAAACTTTTCTCTCTCATGCTGAATTTTTCTATCCTGATTGTTTCAGTCTGAAAGAAAATACCTGGCAAAACAGCGTAGTAGTTCTTAAGTGGTCAGAAGAAAAAAAGATGTTGTTTTTTGCATTGAAAATTTCTTCACGCCTTTTCTTTGAAATTTAGCAGATGGGGTTTTGTCAGAAACGTGCTTTTTGCCATCCTGGTGAAAATCTTCCCAAATTTGGCTGAGCATATATGCCTTTGGGAAAAAAAAAATCACTCTTCCCAAATAACAAAGAACTCTTAACATTTTCCTGGTCACATCCTCTCCAAGAGTCTGTTGGCACTGGGTAGAGACAAGCTTTCTTCCCTTTACTCCTGTTCTCAGCCCACACCAGCACAGACCACTGAGGAGAGTCTCACGCGCCCCCCGAGTCAGGGCACACTTGGGACAAAAGGAGCTTCTGGATAATTTAACCGCTAAAAAAATTAAGTCTTTGCAGAAGTTAGAGGTGCTGTCATTTTTCAAGATGTTTCCGTTGTTGTGGCAGAGGTGGCCTTAACTCAAAGTCTGTCTCCTGCAAGCTTTGAAGTCTCAGCCCAACCAAAGGCAGCCAGAATTTTTAACTTGGGCAAAATAGTGTATTTTTCATTAGCCAGATATTTGGAAATGGGAGAAATATTGTGGTAGAAACTTTCTCCATAACTTTTGCATTGGAAAAATGCAAAAGGGCCCAGGACTGGAAAATTTCATCCCACGTGTTAAAGCTCGAGAGAGAGATAAGCAACTGAAAACAGGGTCTCAGAGAAGAATCAGGCAATCTTAGTAATAGGTAGTAATACCAGCCTCATCTGTAAAATGTATTGTTGGAAAAAATGTACTGGGTAGATTGTGTAAGCGTTAGCCCAAGGCTGTGTTAATGAAGAGTAAAGACTATTGTAATATATTTTACGCTGGGACTTAATTGAAGTTGAATGAACAGCTTCAGTTCTCTCACTTCCTAATTTCTGATGCCTGAGAGCTCTTCCTGCAGCAACACAATTAATTCATTGCCACTGTGTGAATGATTTTGTTTTCAAAGGGGAGGTTAGGGAAGAGGAAGAAACAAGAGCGCCTAGGCTTCAGGAGCATCACGTGGTGGAAGAATGAGGGACTTCACAGAAATGACAGTTCTGCAGAGGAAAACCTTTTTGCCCCCTTCCCCATGCCTCCTGGTAGCCCATAGGAAACAGCAGAGAGCTGGGGGGAGAGTCCTTC